CAAATTAGATGATTCTTGAAGCATTAGAATTCTAATTCAAAGGGTTACAACTTTTGTGTTTTGCACAAAAGCCAGTTCGGCCTTCATCATGGAGAAAAATGCAGTTGAAGTGAGGTCAAAAGTAAAAACGTGTATGGCAGCCGAATTTCTGTAATTTGCTCAGCAATTTTTCTCATCTTCACACTACTTTCCAGCTAGAGTTGGAGAGAAAACGTAGGCTGCACATGCTTCAGAAGACATAAGGAAGAGATATAGCCAAGGTTCCAAGTCAAAAGCCATTATTTTTTACTCCCTTAACAAATTCAGATTTGGAGAATCAAAGTGGAGAGTCATAGCAGAATTTTTTGACTGGTAAGGGAAGGACTTTTCATCAGCTTATATGCAGAGACATTGGAGGATGCAGAATGATACGGGAGAAGCTTGAAGAGTGCAGAAATGTAGTTCTTCCATTTCCTTAGTGTAGGATAGTGTAGTAAGTGTAGTTCATCCATTCTTGTATAATGGCTAGATTAGGATGAAAATGGAGATGAAGAAAGAGAAGTTGAAACTCAAGTGACATGGGTTATCTCTTCTCCAACTCTTTATCTTTTGTATTGGATTCTTAAATATAGTTAATATACAAGTTCTGGAATTTATGTTATTTATGTGTCTTTAAAGTTTATACCTTGGGTTTGGTTGAACTTTCTATGATTGTTAGTGCTTATTATTTGGCTATTTGACTGCTATGATTTGAGCAAGTTATTTAGCACTTTAGCTCTTTAAATCATGATTAATATGGTACCATTAATTGTGATTATCTAAGGTGTTATTTCTGCAATGAAAATTGAGATTAACACTAGTTCAAGAAGTGCTAAACATAGGGAGTACACTCACGAAAGTAGAGGTGCACCTATGTGGTTTTTAGTGATTCATTTCATGTAATTTCACTGAAGAAATGAACTTGTAGCTAATTTCATAACCATGAGAATAGGTATGGATTAGTTATAAGTATAATTGATTCACTACGAAAGTAGGATTCAAATGCATAAGGAAATTACACCATAATTAGCCTAGATGTAGTACTCAATGATCCAAATATAGCACTTGCATGAGTAGTTAGGGATACCACAACCTAAGGAGCTTTTATTTGTTAATTTCTTGTATAAGTGCAGTAGGTTAAATTTCTTATCATTAATTGATAGTCTAAATAATAAAGAAACTTTAGTAATACCGGTAATTGTTCACTCTTCCCTGTGGGATCGACCCGATATATACCCTAAACTACTAGTTGATCTGTATACTTGCAATGAACGGGTGTAATTCGGTTTTTTAACTTGTACGTATGCAAAATACCCGTCACATATTCAATGCAATATCTATGAAACATTTGGAATAGGTAAGTCACTTCCATCTCTCATATCATTAGAACATGTGACTTTTGCTATAAAGCCACCATTTAATGATCCACCACGACCTAAAATGGTGGATTATTCTTTAACCAAACCTCCTTGAAAAATGAGATTTAATAGTCGAGCCAACAACTATAAACAAAAGCGCCTGTTGGGAGACAACCCAATGTTTTAGTATTTTATGTTATTTTGGTATGATTTTATGTTTAAATTACATGTTTGAGTTATTTCATTATTTTTCATTTTTAGGTACTAGAGATGAAAACAAAAGTGACCAAATGAGGTGAAAAAGGCGAAATTTGATCAAGGAACTCAATCCCTCGATTTGAGTAATTGTTGTTTTTGATACTTTAGAAGGGATTAAAATGCATGTTTTGATCATTATACATGTGCATGCATTGAGTATTTTAGCAAACAAATAATCTATGATGCTTTTTAAAAAATTGGGGTACCATTTGTAATTTTTCAAAAGTTAGATTTTTGCAAAAAATTGCAAAAGAAAACGCGTTTGGCTCAAAAACGCGCCTTGCTGTCGCATTGTGAACAAACCGCGTTTTCAATTCTGCATCGGCATCAAAGAAAACGCGCTTTCAAAACGCGACAGGAAGTCGTGTTTTCTACCAAGTCGCGTTTTTCAGCCTATTCAGAAACCAGAAATGAGCCTTCAATTATAGTCGCGTTTTGATGCTGCAACTTTTGTGAAGAAACGCGACTTCACAACACGCAGCTTGATGACGCGTTTTGATGAGTCGCGTTTTCTGAGCACGTTTTTTTTAAGAAAAATGCAGGTTTCTTGATTCTCTTTTTCTTCTTTTCCTCATATATTTTCTTGTATCTTGAGTAGTTTATTGTATATTTTATATAGGTGCATCACCAAAACAAAGGTTTGAAGTTACAGATCACTATTTTGTTTATTAAATCTTTGTTATCACTTTTGTTTCTCATTTTCCATTTTTAGGTTTATATAACTAATGGTTATCCAATGGAACTCATGAAGCATTGAAGATACACGGACAACGGATCTTGAAGTTCATATTCAATCGCAACAATAGGGGAATATTACTTTTTTTTATCTTGGTTTCCTTTTTTACACATTGAGGACAATGTGCATGTTAAGTGTGGGGGGAGAATTGAGATTATATACATTGTATGTGATTGACTTATTAGTTGCAAATATTGGACTTGTGTTAAAATTCAAAATTTTTCTTGTCCAAAATTGCAAAGTTGCCCAAAAAATGTTTCAAATTTTTTTCAATTTATCTAAGGGGTAACAAGTTCCTTACCATTAATAGTTCAAATTCCTTCTACATTTGAGATAAATATATATGATTTGGATACTTCTTTTCTCATTTAACTTGGAAATGACTATTATGTGATTATAATTTTGCATTTGTAGGAAAGTATATCTTTTAAAGTGGAGAAAATTATGCCTATTTTTTTGCATATTTAATGAAATTTCTTCTCTTTATTTGATTTTATAAGTTAAGTGATAAATATGGTCAATAAGTGCAATACTCTTCTCATGATTATTCTTTTGAGAAAATTATTATTATCTTTGCTGTTAAATAAAAAAAATGAAAAAAAGAGAAAATGAAAAAAAAGAAGAAAAAAGAAAATAAGATTTGTTCTATTCCAATGATTCTTGTACTTAGTAACCGGGAGTCTTCATCTGCAAATGTCGACTTTCACGTAAAACGGTACTTGAATTAAGAGTATGTAAAGCAACTTAAGTATGTGAAGTGTTGAATAACCGGTGATCTTCATCTAAAAAGATCGATCCTCGCGTCAAAAGGTATTCTCACGTCTTAGGTAATATTTAGATATGTTATATGAATAAATATCTTTTTGATTAGAATAAAAAGATGATCATGAGTTTAGGAAGCATTATTATTGACCATATGAGCTGCTTGCTTGTGAAATTGGGTAAGGATGAAAAATCGATTTGAATTTGTTATAATGGTGGTATAATTGGCTCTCTTTTACTTGATATTATGATTACTTGAGAATTAACAAAAGATTGCATAATAGTTATTTACCTTGATTCGAGAAAATGAAGTTGATTTAAGCACATATGTTTATCTTCAAAAATGTTGAATCATTGTTGGTTTGTATTTCTAATTGCTTGAGGACAAGCAATGGTTCAAGTGTGGGGATATTTGATAAGGGTTTATTTTATGTATTTTTAAGTGCATTTTATTAGTTAATTTTGATTTGATTATTTAGTTTTATAACTAAAATAACTAAGGTTTTGGTAAAAATCTACATTTTATGTTAAAGTGGCTAACATTGCATTTCTATTGATTTTAATGGTAAAAACTTCATTTTCATGCAGGATTAATGATTCAATCACCAAAGGATGTCAATTGAGGAGAAAAGTATATAATTGGTGATGAATTTAAGTGATTAAGAAGAAATGAAGTGAATTGAAGAAATGCAAGTGAAAACAACTTTGACACATTTTTGTATTTCGACTATATCTGGAGCTACACATATTGAATTGATGTGATATTTATACCATTTTGAAACTAAGAGATGGATCTAAATTTGGTATGAAAACATCAGAATCCAATTCAACCGTTTTCTCAGTCAAAAGGTCGAAATACCAAAATTCAACACTGCTGTCCAAAGTTGAAAATAGGGGTTTGACTAGGTGATAGTACTTCAATCATATCTCAGTCTACAAAGCTCCGATTTGGATGATTCTTGAAGCATTGTAAAGATAATTCAAAGGGTTACAACTTTCGTGTTTTGTACAAAAGCTAGTTTAGCCGCAATCATAGAGAAAATTGTAGCTGAAGTGAGGCCAAAAACACAGAGTTGAAAACGCGAGTCATCAAAACGTAGCTTAAAGCCGCGTTTTGTCAAGTCGCATTTTGTAGCCGAAATTCTGCAATTTGCTCAGCCATTTCTTTTATGTTTACACCACTTTCCAGCTATTCTTGGTAAGGGAATTCGGCTGCACATGCTTTAGAAGACATAAGGAAGAGGTATAGCCAAAGTTCCAAGTCAAAAAGCCATTGTTTTTTACTATCTTAACAAAAGGAGATTTGGAGAATCATAGCAGAAAATTTGGACTGGTGAGGAGAGGAGCTTTTCATTAGTTTATATGCAGAGACATTCGGGGAGGTCTTACATTATCATACGGGAGAAAGCTTGAAGAGTGCAGAAATGTAGTATAATAAGTCCAGAAACTAGTTCCAATCCTTTTTTTTTTTTACTTTTTGTCTGCTTTCTTTATATGAAAAATTCCACGCTCCTAATTTATCGTACAAAAATTAACAATGCTGTTAACTTTATGTCATTGGAATCTCACTTGGCCTAAAAGAGGATCAACGTCAGTCTGGCACAATTATCAAAAATATAGAATTTTCTTTTCAATCTAATGAAAGTTAATTCCTTTTTGTTATATAAAGCTTGCCAATTCTCCAAAAAAAAAAAGTTAATTCTTTTTGAAGAAACTTAAAAGTATGCTCACTAAAAGTTTACAGAATTTTATAAATTGGTTGGCGTTAGGGTTATTATCTGGTTTCTCTGGTTCACAAAAGTGTTCTACAATAAACATATTAACGTATTTTTGAGAATCAGGAAATATTTGGTTATGGGTAGACCGAAATGAGAGGCAAAAGAATGGGGATCTTTCTGAACAAAGTCTCCTACGTCTCAATCACCATAGCCACCTTCATCCTTCTCTTTCTCTTCCTCCAGACCCCTTCCACCTGCGTGGACCCCACAACCATCCCCCAACACCCCCAGTCCCTGTCCAAACGGGCCCACCAGAAATCCTTCCCGACATCAACCTGCGACTACACCCACCGGGCCTATACCTCCCTGGACAAGAAAAACAAGAAGTTATGGAATTCTAAGGCCTGGGTTCAGACGGTTTCATCCTATAAATCCCTCTTTTCATCGTCTCTCCAAGGCCCGGTAAGGACTCACCTCTTCAACCATTCTCGGGCCCTGGTCGTTTCGGCCGGGCCGGGCCATGGGGTTATGGCGTTGGAGGAAATGGGAGTAGCTGATGTTACTGGGGTGGAGTTGGTGGACTCTCCTCCTCTTGTTAGCCGGGCTGATCCGCATAATTTGCCGTTTTTCGATAATGTGTTTGATTTCGGGTTTTCTGGGTACCTTGATCGGGCCCTGTTCCCGGACCGATATGTTGCGGAGATGGAGAGGACTGTGAGGAGTGGGGGAGTCTGTATGGTGGCTGTCGAGGAGTGTGGAGATCAAGAAGTGAGGGAAATTGTTAAGTTGTTTAGGAAATCTGCGTTGGTTGATGTTAAAAATGTGAGGTTGGCTGGGGAACGTAGGACTAGGATTATTATGAGAGTTGAATGAAAAATGATTCCTTTGCTATCTTTTTTCTTATTTTCGTAGTTGGTTTGAAGTAATCTGAATTAGGTTTGGTTTGTTTACTGATAGGTTAATTCATTTTGGAGCTAGAATTAATCATGTAATGGTTTTTTGTTGTTGATTGTACATGTATGTATCTTATGTGAAGTGGATTTAGTGGAATGGTTGAGACTTGCAACTCTTACACGGCATTCTGATGTGTAGAAGTATCCATGTAGTTATGAAGGATCTTTATGTAACAAAAGTTATCTGAGAAGAGTTTTATTTGTTATAGTTATATGAGTCTGATGCATTGCTTGTAAAGATTTATGTACTACTGGAAGTTTGAAATTTTGATTTAGTGCAATGATGAATCTGCAAAGTTGTCTGGATATGGACTTGGAGGAGTTCGAATATGTATGGTAATCTAGGAAGTGAATGGTGTAAGATTTTGATTCTACTGTATACTATGTGAGTTGAATTGGTGTTTGTTCCAGTTGATTATATACACTTGAAGAAATCTCTGAATTGCAAATGAAATGCTACCTCAGAATTGCATTAGTTAGTGCATACCATATTGTATGCTAATCCTGAATGTTTATTGTCAGCGAACCTTGAGTGAGTTATGTGTCCCTTATACACTGCCTTTTGGTTGTGGAATGAATTTCTGATGTATTCACATTACTCTGTCCTGGAAATTTTATTTGGGAAGTTCTTCCAAAAATGAAGGTGAAGGATGTAAGTAGGGTTCTTGAACTTTGCTTCTCAAACCATAGCTTCAGAAGAACCTAAGAATAGTCTACTTAAAAGAGATGAGTGCAGCTTGTTTTTAGTGGTTTACGTTACCAAGTAAAATAGCACATTTTTCTGGGAACATAGTTTTACTCAAGGTTGCCAATGTAGCAAACCTGCGTCCAACAATGATGCCACAGGTCAACTTGTAAACTTAATTCTGTTAGTTGTGATGTGTCTGCATATTGTAGTTCAATTTTTGAAGAAAAAATGACAAGCCTTTGGAAAAATGGCTGCTAGTGCCTTTCTTTAGAACTCTGAATCATATCGGTGACTGGTGATGCAAAAATTCAGTTGAACAGACTTTATGTATATAACTGCTGACGCCTACATTAGGACTAAATGTTGGGCTGTCAAAATTGAGTCTCTTCATAATTGACTTTCCTAACAGAGCTAGAGGTGGCAAGTTTTCCCTTATAGATTCACTAGCATCGGAGGTTATCCATGGCTTTGCAGTATTCATTAGTTGCAGGACTTTTCTTCTGCTACTTTCAGTGATCCTCTGTATTCGTTCTTAAGTTTCCAAGATAGCAAAGTTTAAGATGGCATAGGAAATGGAGCCTGCTCGCGTTCATTGGATTTGTCAGATATGACATGCCTTTTAACTCATTTTATGCTTTTTTCCCATCAAAGAAAAGATCGGGTGCCTATTCTGGAACTCAATGGCAGAATGGTAGAGATACCGAACTTCAACCATTGATGGTGCCTATCCGGATGGTGCTGCCTACTTTCATATCTGGTCTCCTATGAAAAGAACCAACATAGTCAAGATAAGAGCAATCCCTGAACGTTCCTGTACTCAGATGATCGTAATCACTGTGCTTCTTTATGAATCTTGGAAGCTAGACAGAAAACAGAGGCAGCGACATGGTGTAGTTGGAGGCTTGTATATTGGGGGCGGTGGTAGGTGAAGCTTGAGCTGTATTCTAGTTCCTTTTGCAGTCACAAGCTCCATTTCATGTTGTCTGCTGTTATTTCTTCGCAAGGAGCATGAACCGCTTGCAGGTGAGAGTGAGAGAAATGAGTCTGCTTTTGTGTGTACATGCTATCATGATTGGAAACTCGACTCGAGTTCTTTGATAAAGGCCCTAATTGAGCAACCTAGATTGAAGTTTGTCTCGTTTATGTTATCATGGATAAAGTCCTAAATGAGCAACCTAAGTCGAATTTTGTCTCCTTTATTTGACTTGCTCAAAGTAATTTCGAAGGCGTTTACACTTCTTTAAAGAATCACCACCAGCCAAAAACCTTAGCGAAATTGAATGTATAGCCAGAATGGCTCTGCAGCACCGATAAAACCTCCCCTAATTACAGTACAAGTCAAACTGGACTAACTAAAAACACAAGGATTTGAAACTCCTAATTCCTATACTTCTAACAATAGAAATGACTGAAAAGAAAATCAGGACCCGAATTTTACTACTTAAATAAACTCTTACTAGGCCAGATCCAGAGGAGGCATATCCATATGGCCTTAAGCCAGTCTCTCTTGAGAGCAATCCCAACCTGTTCATTCCTCTCTCTATCCTCTTCTCTTCCCTCCACTTTGCGACGGCTATATGCTAGCCCGTTCAAGCTATTTGAATTTCCCGCGTCTAAATTCTCATGTCTCGGTTACTGCTATTCGTCATTGCCTCTCACTCTTGACCACAACTTTGACAATAACAACAATCTATATTACACATTTGAACCTGAGGCCTACTACACATCCCTTCTGTCGAAATCTACCCACAAGTCTTTTTTAAACCAAATCAATGCCCAACTATTCACATTTGGGCTCCAGAACAATGGGTACATCATCACCAAGTTCATTCATGTGAGCTCTAATATCGGGGAAATCATTTATGCCCGGAAGATATTTGATGAATTTTCTGACCCATATGTGTTCTTGTGGAATGCAATTATTAGAGGCTATTCCAGCCACAACATGTTCCATGAAGCTATTGATATGTATAACAATATGCAAGAGGCATATGTCAGTCCTGATTGTTTCACGTTCCCTCATGTGCTTAAAGCTTGTAGTGGATTATCGGCTGTCAAATATGGTCAAGCTGTACATGCTCAAGCGTTTAGACATGGGTTGGAATCAGATGTGTTTGTGCAAAATGGGCTAGTCACACTGTATACAAAATGTAGGAAGATTGAGCTGGCTCGCATTATTTTCGATCGATTGGTTGAAAGAAATATAGTTTCTTGGACTTCTATTATTTCTGGCTGTGCGCAGAATGGACAGCCTATTGAGGCTTTGAGAATTTTTTGTGAAATGAGGAAATTGAATGTGGAACCTGATTGGATTGTATTGGTAAGTGTTCTAAGGGCTTATAGTGATGCTGAGGACTTGGAACAAGGTAAATGTGTTCACAGTTTGGTGATGAAAATGGGACTTGAATATGAACCAGACTTGCTTATAGCACTTACAGCTATGTACTCAAAATGTGGGCAGATCATGGTGGCTAAACTGTTGTTTGACCTAATGGAGGTCCAGGATGTTATTTTGTGGAATGTCATGATTTCAGGGTTTGCTAAAAATGGTCATGCTAGCAAAGCTGTAGAGCTTTTCCAAAAGATGTTGATGAGAAACATTAGACCAGATTCAGTGACAGTACAGTCCACAATATTGGCTTGTGCTCACGTAGGATCACTTGATCAAGCAAGATGGATGGACAATTATGTATATAACAGCAAGTTTAGAGATGATATCTGTGTGAAGACAGCTCTTATTGACATGTATGCCAAAAGTGGAAGTGTAGAATTAGCTCGAAAAGTGTTTGATCAGTCAATACACAGAGATGTTGTCCTATGGAGTGCAATGATAGTAGGTTATGGATTGCATGGGCGGGCCCGAGAAGCCATTGATCTTTTTACTATGATGAAGAGTGCAGGTGTGCACCCTAACGATGTAACTTTCATTGGGCTTCTTACTGCATGTAATCATTCTGGTCTAGTGAAGGAGGGATGGGAACTTTTCCACAGCATGAGACTTTATGGGATTGAGCCACGGCACCAACATTATGCTTGTGTTGTTGACTTACTTGGCCGTTCTGGACATCTGGAGAAGGCTTACAATTTTATCCAGAATATGCCAATTGAACCAGCTGTCTCAATTTGGGGAGCACTATTGAGTGCGTGCAAAATCCACCGCCATGTGAAACTGGGAGAATATGCTGCAGAGAAACTCTTTTCTTTAGACCCACTGAATACCGGGCACTATGTGCAACTATCAAATTTGTATGCTTCAACACGCATGTGGGAGGGAGTAGCAAAGGTACGAGTATTGATGAAGGAGAAAGGTTTAACTAAGGACCTTGGGTATAGTATGATTGAAGTAAATGGAAAGCTTCAAGCATTCCGAATGGGTGACAAGTCTCATCCAAGGTCAGAGGACATCTATAAGGAGCTTGAGATATTGGAGAGGAAGTTAATGGAGGCAGGATTTGTTCCAGATGCAGAATCTGCTTTGCATGATCTGGACACTGAAGACAAACAGGTGTCTTTATGTAATCACAGTGAGAGATTAGCCATTGCCTATGGGTTAATTAGCACTCCACCTGGGACAACACTAAGGATTACAAAGAATCTAAGGGCATGCGTAAATTGTCATTCAGCAACTAAGCTGATAACAAAACTTGTGAACAGGGAGATAGTAGTTCGGGATGCAAACCGATTTCATCATTTCAAGGATGGATTTTGTTCTTGTGGAGATTTTTGGTGAGATGGCTACAACTAGCTTTCTGATTATACTCAGCAGAATACCTACCCAGAAAGCTCGGCTGTTCTTTGTCCATGTACTTTACAGTACATCAGAACATGATCAGGAGGCTTGTTTTCGTTCTTGGCAAACTGATAGCCCCCACAAAAATCTGAAAAGGTTTTCACTGGATTTACCAAAAAGACAAACGTCAGAGAGTTTGTGCTTTGTAGTGCCTTTTCGCACATTGGCCGGCTCCATCAGTCTGTGTGCCAAAAAGTCCTCTGCTGCTGTTCACACCTTGAAGGAATCCAACACAGATTCAAACTATCAGGTTCTTCCACTCTCTTAGATCCGAGTGCAGGCTTGGTTTGCCTAGCTAAAAAGTCTCAATTGACCAGCCAGTGCCTATTGAAATTTCGGCCTCTCAGCAGGATAGTCCTTGCATCTTGTCTACACTATGTGCATAGACATCTAAAGAACGTATAAGGTAAGTCCATGGTGAAATGGCTCCATTAATCCACCTAATACTGATTTAGATGCGATAAAAGTTACATTTCATTTGAGAGGTAGAGCCAATACGGCTGGGAGAGAGAGCTTAAAATTAGGACGCGAGTGTCATAGTGCGGAGTGTGACGGAGCCACCCTCCAAATAGACTAGACCTTTTATGAAGGACTTCTAATCTCCCAGAATTTAGTTGTCACAGTTGGGAATCTCAATCTTTCTTCTTTCATTTACTTGGGATTTCCAGGTCGAATAAGAGAAAGTAATACAGTTCATGAATATTTTGTTTTAATTTGCAGAATTCTTGACATTTTTAAGTGACATGTACAAAATATAACCCATTATGCTCTTTTGTATTTCTGGCCTTCGTGTTCTTTACTTCAGTTCTTTTGATTTGTCCTAGGATACGTGCTTCTGATCCTTGCTCAGCTTACCTTTCATATAGAGGTTCATGCAACTGCCTCTCATGGAAGAGATGCCTTTAGACCTTTGGGCTTCACAAGTGATATCGTCTTCCTTTCGAAACATAATCATCTTTAAAGCCAACAAAAAAAAAAAAAAAGCCAACCACGAATCTGGTTAATACTAAACTTGCAATTTTTTAGTGACAAGTGTCCGCATTCATTTTTCTTTTTTCTTTTTTTCCGGTGCCATGGCTCCATCTAGCATAGTAGTAATGGTGAAATTAATGTTTGCAGCTGATCAATACCCTTTGGTTCTTAAAGGGGCAGTTTCTTTTCCATTATTCCGACAGCGGATCCGCACAATAGTTTCCTCTACAGCTATTGCGATGGTTTTCTTCAACATCTGTTTCCTCTAATTCTATCAAGGTCCACAAGGAGCATTTTCCGCTCCACAGTGATCATAGATTGGTTAAGACTCTACAGCTCCTGTTTCTGAGCTAGTAAATCAGCAATTACAATTTAACTGCAGAAATCCCACACAACAGACACCTGAATATCATTTGAAAGTACAGATTTCCATTCCCCTCTCAGTTGTATCATATGATCCATTAGCGCCAAGGAAGACATCAAAATGACCTTATTTCAAATAAAATACATGTCTTTTGGACAAATTTCTGAAGACAAGGCTAAGCAAAAAACGATAACAGCAACAACAATGTAGAGAATAGCTATATAGATTATGCACTCAACATTACGGCTAGACTGATGTAGCACATGGTAGCAATAACATACACATACATAAGCATTTCAGTTTCCCAAATTGAGTGCTGAATTGACTTCTCATGTCTCTTGAGGGCAGTATACTAGAGTTCAAACGATCTTAAGCTGGTCATCAAAGAACAAAAGGAGGTGATAATATTTCACCTACTTTGGCTGGATATGCTACGATTTTTTCTAAAACCAACCCATACTTTTTCAGAAGGCCAACAACATACACTTCATTTTTCACTCCCCTGTATTTTTCCATCTTCACTAGCCTAAGGCTTGGCATGTGCATAACAATTGGTCTCTCCATTATTTCTTCTCCTAAAATATCCTGTAAAATAATCCCATTATGAGTTAAAATCCAGACCAAGTATCAAGCTAAAATAAATTCGGTGAAGAGAAACTAATAAGTTGCATACTCACATCAAAATCTGTCTCATATGAATACTCAAGGACCATAGACTCAAGCATTGAACATGCTTTAAGTACAGCTTCTAAGCCAAGCAGATCATATTCTGTATACCCAGTCAATAGTACCAAGTGTCTGAGATTGTTGAATGCAAAAGTTTCAGAAAAAACTTCCTCTTCGACCGAAAGCTGTAGACAAAAAACCTCAAGCTTGAGAAACAACAAAATATATTCATGATGGTATCACTGAAACACATCTAAAAAAGACCAGGCCGAATAGTTATTATTTCATATTATGTTGAAAAGAATGCTCCATCAAAATGAAAGTTTCCAACATCTTAAAAATAATCCCAAAAACAGAAAGGAAAAAACAAAAAAAAAAGGTTATTTATCTAAGCATTGCCTTTACTATCAGAAACAAAAAATCAAAACACAACTAGTGTTGGTTCTAACAGAGTGCCAGGTTGACTATCAAAGAATGAAGACAACGAGCTCTGAGCTATTCACACACCAATCCCTTTCCTTAATTTACACAGACTTATAAAATCAGATCCAACTTGACATGATTATAGCAAGATTAGAGTTACCAAAAAAAGAAAAAATTAGAAAAAATTAGGTAAAGAAATTATCTTTTCTCAGCAAAAGAGCAAATTTCTCTCTCCCTCTACACAAACACATACGTACTACCCTACAGACACATGAATACGTATAAAATATACGGATAGCTCAGTACCTTTCCATGCAACTCTTCTTGACTATCTTCTGATTCTGCATCAAATTGAACTTCTAACATCTTGTTAACCTCTTCAAAATTATCGCTCGCCAATTCCGCCATTTGCATAAACTAGAGTGGAAATTAATACGGCAGACAACATGCTAGAATCAATAAATGAAATCTACAGTTAAAAAATCAAGTGCAAACAAGCCTTCCATTTTGTAAATAACCATAGGTCCCCATCACAACAAATTTCACAAAACATAATCAGACACTACAGGTGCTTAATAATATTCCAATCAGCTACCAAATGATTTCCTTAGACTAGTATAGATCGAAGGGCAATCGATAATTGTTTGTCTAAACCAGTAAATCACTTATTTGCTAGAATCTTTAGAACAAATTTAAACAAAAAAAATAAATAACCTTCCAGAATATTATATCATAAAATTCGTTAACATCTCTTTATTTTTTTTTAAAGTGAAACCTTATTCATCATTAAAGTGAATGTAGACTTCTTTCTGCAAACATGCATTCAGCTCAATGTTGAAATTTTTACAGAAACAGGCCAAGAATCAGAATCATACAAGTCACTTCATCCATAATGTGGCTAGGATGAAAACACATCACAATATTGCCAGGATAAGCATGCTGTTTAAGTCTCATGAACATATTAAAATATTTGTCCAACTTGGAGTTAATATATATTTGCAAATCTTCAAGAATGGAAGGGTGTAAACAAACCAAGACAGGTGATTCAATGGATCACATGTTCTGATTATGCTTAAGTCCAGGTTTAGTGTTTAAAACAACGATGGAATGATAGAGACAAAATTTACGGCCCAATGTTGAACACCTCAATGCTACTGAACAACTCTTGTAAGCAATCGAGACAAAATTTGCAACCAAACCTTAATTGAACATCTCAATGCTACTGAAGAATCCTTGTTTGAAACTGCTTTATGAGGTCCTATGCAACAGTTTACCCCCATAGCAGTATGCTCATGCCTTGGGTGTTGGAAACAGCAGCAGACCATCAAAATAGAATTTGACCTAGCACAAATCCTGAAACACTCGTGAACACTGGTGTCTTTAGCATGACAGATTATCCCATTTTTTAAATCCTGTGGACTAGGTTGAGTGAATGTGGTAACGAGAACAGACACAATAAGGAAGCATAAACGACTGAGTTGGGACTACTCTATTTTCTTCCGCCAACAAAGATCATATAAGAACTATCTGATCACTTCTCCAGCAAGATTCATTTATCTCCAGCCAAGTGCCTGATGGCATGGTTCATCACTTCATTGTACCAATTTTGCAACTACGACCATCCATATTTGATTGCTTCAAAATGTAATTGGTAGAATAAGAACAACATAATTCACAATCCAAGAATTCTCAGTTTCACATCATGGGTATTTCTCACATCATGGGTACATTAGCTACAAGAAATTTTCTAAATCTGACAGTCTTGGCATTTGTCTCATCGGTTGAAATGTCCATATATATATATATATATATGTATGTATGTATGTATGAAAACTCAAAAAGCAATGCAATTTCCACCAAAGCAAGTATTTTAAAGGGAACTCAAACTCCATACTTCATTATAAACTCTACCAAAGATTTCTATAATCAACTATGTCCAAAATGTCAAATGATTAGAGAAAGAGAAGTATGCATACCCTAGACATCCACATATTTTGAACAGTCAGATTCTCAACACCACTGAGTAAGCTCACAAGATTACTCCAACAGGCAAAATCCTCCAACTCCTCTCTGCTGTCAAACTCCACATGAGCTTCGATCAATGATGATACATCTTTCAGAACATAATTCCCCATGTAAAACCAAATGAAGCTTATCGACTGCAAACTTGGAGCAAATATCTCCACGGACTTATCCCAAAGAGTTGTTTGCCTAGAGATGCTTAATTTCAACTCCTTAAGCTTTGGAGACACTATTTTCAGATTGTTCAAACCCGAAACATCCTCAATGCACAAAAACTCAAGATTAACGCATAAAGATACCAACTTCGAAACATCCATATCCATTGATACAAAGCCAAAATCAAAGCCAAATAAGTATAATGCTGTAAGCGATTCAATTTTAATAGGGAATGCTCTACTCCTAGGCAAGCTAAATTTACAACCACGCAATTTTAAAACTTTAACTGAACTATTTATCAGGTCAGAAAAATCAAAGCAATAATCAACAGAAGTTTCTCCATCATCATCTTCTTCTGCTTTAACAGAAAGATAGAGTCCAAAAGTAAGGTCAAGTTCAACAGCTCTGGAACTGACGGCATAGCGAATCCAAGAATTAACATAGGATCTAATATAATCATAGTTTCTGTAATCGAACTTCAACCGAAATTTCCGGAGAGGAGAGTGGCGGGGGCGGCGGAGGAGAGTTTGACTGATCAATTCAGCGAAAAGTTGGCGGGCAGCGGCCGCAGATCTGTCTGGGACGCAAGAGTGGAACTTGCGGATGTTGAAATGGAGGACGGGAATGGAGTGCCAGAGGTTGCGCCATTTGAGTGCTACGGCTGAGGTTTGGACGGCGGTGGTGGTCGGGAGGAAGGAGAGAATGTGGAGGAGGATGCTCTCTGGAAGGTCTTCTATGGTGGCGGAGATGGCATTGCTTGTTTCCATTTTTGTTGTGGTGATTTGCCAATGGTGGCGGGAAGGGGGATTTAATACTCAAATTGGGAGTGGGGTAAGGCTCTGTTTGGATTGCCATTTTTTTTAAGGTGCATTTATTAATAATTGGATACGAAAATACAATTGAATAATTGATGAGAAACAAAAAAAATGAAAAAAAATATCTTGAAAATGTGTAAAAAAAAAAGAAAAAGAAATTTGACAAAGTAGTTATCCAAATTTCATACAAGTATCGTGAGTTTGTTTGTTTTGGTTTTTTGGTCAAAGTAAACAACAAAAAACACTTCCATAAATATTGGATAAATTACATATAACCCCTCTTTAGTTTTGTA